CGTTCCTCATCGGGGCCTCAGTGCACACCACCATTCCTCAGACAAGCACCCTGACGCAGCTGGCACTTGGGGGACATCCCGCACTCACGTGTTGGTCCACAAGCATCTCGCCTATGGGCCACCCATGGAGAGGGCAATGGTCAGCTCAGGATCCCCTTGCAGATGCCTCTCTCCCAAAGCCCACCGCTTCGGTCTCCTGCCTGATGTTGGTTCCCAGGCTCCTACACAGAGCTTGGGGGGAGACTGCAGAAAGAGGCGGGCCACCCCACATTGGTAGGTGGCAGTTCTAATAAGCCAGGGAATGAACTTACAAGGATTTTTTTTTTCTTCTTGGCGTTTGCAAGACGAACAGATTTGCACACCTGCCTGCTGGATCTTCAAAGTTTATATAGAGGCGCTGACGGGGTCCCGTCCTGGCTAACGATAGCATCTGGCTGGTCTCCACACCACTGTTCAAGGCCCCCACCGAGGGAGCGGTGGGCAGAGCACACTCTCTGGAGACAGAAGAGGGACTGAGGAGCCTCTGATTGCCCGGGGCCAGCTCACAGGTCAACCAGAGGAGGCATCTTCTCCACAGCAGGAAGTGAGGTGGTTTTTGGTCTAATCTACTAAAACCCAGTCATGCGCCCAGTGTGATCTTTACATACGTTTTATTCCTTTCGATCGTCGAATACACATCAAAATTTAAACACATGTGAATTCCCGAGTATCATTTTTGAATTTCATCGAAATGGTGACACGCAGGCTGTCCTCGTTAGTTGTATTAACTGGGTCGTTAACCATTTACTTTCAACTAACTACACACCATAGGCAAGAGTTATTTTTTTCCCCAAGAAATAATGATTTCTATGTGATGTATTGCATTACGTAATTAGATATTTTTAGGACAAATTTTAGTATACCAAAATTCAGCTTAGTGTCATTACACAAACAATTACCCTATGTTCCTCTGAGTCCTCATCCCAGAGACTGCAAAAGGACCAATTCTAAGAGCTGTCTTTGCTCAGAGCAAACATTAGTAATAAAGTTTGGTTAGAATACACACTCGGAGTCGGAAAGGTTGTGACTCTAGTGTTTAAATGTCCAACTGTGGAACCAGACAGCCTGGGTTCTGTTCTGAAGAAGTAGGTCACGCACGTCACTTGGGTAAAAAGGGAAGGATAAAACTATCTTATAAGGTTTTATGAGGGAATTAAAGTCAGTAGTACATTTAATGCAGCACCTGACACATAAAAATTAATCATTAATCAGAAATTATTGATAGGTCAGTAGAGCTTGGAGACTTTGCTCACAGATTCTAACTAGCCTAGAAAAGACTCAAAGTGTGCAGTGACGATTGTGACTGTGCCCTCTGATGAACGTCCAGGACCTGGGAAAGGGGATGTCGGAAGGGCAGCTGATCTCGGGAAGGGACAACTAATTTCTCTCTGAAGGCTTTTCGGGTTTTCTGAACGTTCTGCAATGGGACTGAGGAGGTCGCCAAGATGGCGGTTTTGTTTTTCCTTTTCTTTCTCCTCCGAGAGGCTGAGTGATTTGAAGAGCTTGCAATCTAGCTTTAGAAAAGCACTTAATAAAATCAGTGCAATAAATAAGAATGGAGGCCCTTGTGTGTTTTCATCTCCTCCCAAATAGAATTAAAGAAAATATATCTTTACTTTTATGCAAATTATTAGATTGCGTCATGCTAGCAGTGTCCCCCTGGGAAGAAGTGAAGGTGTGAGGCTCTTGGGAAGTGGGAAAGGGGACTCTAGAATCTTTGGGCTTCTCCACGGATGTGAGGATCAATATTCTAAAATAAATCTGAACCATGACCTTTGCCTTAGGACGTGCTTCAATAGGGTGGCTCGTATTTTGTTTTCTTCGTGGTCAAGGAAGAAAGAACAATTCCCTATGTTCTATCTTCATCAGAAATAGAAGTCAAGAACTGGATTTCAATGTAATTAACTTAAATTTAAATTTAAACAGAGAGAACTTCTTGGTGGCTGCCATTATGAATAATGGTTCAGAAGCCATAGATACCAACTGCCCGTCGCAAAGCAATAACAAAAACAATAGCAATAACAAAAATTGTCGTGCGGTGATCAGTTTCAGGAAAATCCAAGCGCTGTCCCTTTAAAACGTGTCTTCAGGACTACGACTGCATGACGGGCAGTGAGGTGCTGCAGATTTCATAACACAGACTGACCTTGGTTGTCACCTGTCACTTTTAATGCTTCACTGTACTGGGGAAAGAGCCAGGTTCTTTGGATGTGACATACATTTTGAAAGGATCTCCCAAAAAAAGACTACAAACAGGACAAAAATTAGAACTGAAAGTAAATATTTACTTAGAAATGAATTATTATAAATCACAAAGTTCAAAAAATTGACAAATACGTCAGACATTATAAAAACCAGAAACTTCATATGTATATTCATTGTCTTGTACAACTCTGTGATACCTTTAATTTTCACATTTTCGTCTGAATGATCTTAGGATTATCCCTTCACATGGCACAATTTTCTAATATTTCTTATATAGAGAAAGTAGAAAAGTAATTCAGTCCTTTCTTTAGCATGTTTGATCTAAATCTGTTACTTGTTATTGAAATATTAGAAAAATCCTTTCAAGCTCACAACTCATAAATCGTCCTAAATTTTCAGGGTTCTCGTCAAATTTTGGGAAAACTCCAGTTTTCTTGTTACAGTGAACTACAGGATCGCAGGGCATCGAAAGCGTTTTTGTGCATGATTAATACTAACCACTCTTTGAAGTGAGGTATTGCAGACAAGTTTGCTCTCAGAGTCATCGTCATAGAGACTAAGTGTTACGGTGTCTCAGCGATGTCACTGTGTCGTGCACAACAGGAACGAACTTCCATTCTTACGAGGCATCGGTGACAATCGAATCATCCACTTAAGTTTTACACGTCTGATGATCGTTTTAAAGACTTGTTTCTCCTTCAAGTCTTTTCGTTGACTTCCTTCTGGTGCTGGGCCCTGTCGAGTACATCCAGATGTTAGCTGCATCTTCAACCCTCATCATTGTGTCGTGATGCTAATTGGTTGGGCACAGAGGTGACAGGTGGATTCCTAGAAGCCATTCTTAGATGGACATCAGTTACCGGGTTAATTCAATTGTGACTGCAGATTATAGCTGACTGATCTCAAACAAATGTGTTCTATCCTTGACTTCTTGGTCGAGTCCTCCAAATGCCTGTGACTGTCTAATGTCAACTAACTTAGCAGAGTATGACAGAAGGAGAATCAGAGTAGGGGAAGACATCTTCATTTTCTGGTAATTAAGACACCTTTTCTATTTTTACAAAAACGTATGACCATGGAAAAAAAATCGCAAGGGGCCCTTTCAGGTTATTAGGAGATCTAATCAAACGGGACGTCCTGAGGCCAGACTTCGTTCACCTCGAGAAATGATGAAGCTTCGGCTCTATTTGCCAAATTCCTCTTTTTCGTCGATCTACCGTATAATTGTTGCAGAATGAATTCGTTCAGTAATCTGCTGCTTTTGTATCCATCTTCTGATTCCTTTTTCTCTATCCATTCTAACACAACTGCTGAAGCGACCCTACCTACTGATTTTCCTACATCCCTTTTCCTTGATTAGGTCTATCAAAGGTTACCCAGTGGCTGTAAAATAATTTGCCATTTTTTAAAAATCCTCATTCGAAGCCCCTCTTCCAGAACTTTCCAAAAACGACTGCTCCAGTGCTCTCGTCAATTCGAGAACACTCTCCATGATTTCCTACACTTCAGTCTTTGCGTGGGTGTATTCTTCCCTTATACTCCGATTGAATAAGGAGCTATTCTTGAGACCATGCCAAATCCCGCCTTTGGAGCAAGTAATTTTTTCTCCCTCCAAACTCCTCTGGTCCATATTGACCATAACAGTCATTTGCGACTTAGCATAGCTATTCCTGACTTCTAATTTTAAAAACGAAATGCCGATTTTTTGAAACTTCGAATACCATGAGTCCCAAACTGGAATCTACTCAGATGCCCTTTTAAGAGGCACACAGATTCGAAAATAAAATTAAATGTGGCATATTCAAATAATGGAATATTATACAGCTATAAAAATTAATAATCCGTAGCTACACGGAACGTGTGGTTGAATAAACGCAACATAAGTTTTAGAGAAAGAGTCTAAACACAGAAGAATAAATATATCATGACACTTATGTATAGTATGAAAACCGGCCAAGGGAGCCCATGTTTTTTGGGGTGAGGATGGAGGACCCCCTGGGTGCAGCGTCGGGGGCCGAGGGATTGCCTCAAAGTGCTGGGGGCTGAGAGGGGCTGTTTAGTTTCTCGACCTTGCTGCTGACTGCATGGCTGTCTTCACCTTCACGGTATTCAGTAAACCATTTGCTTACATTCTCTTTATGCATGTTCTGTTCTCTTACACCATTTAAAAAACTCAGCATTTCAATTTCTTGGTTTTTCAAATTATTAAACTCATTCATGCCTAAGGAGAGTGAAGCTGTCACTTCGTACCCATTTATAACAAATCAAAAGACTAATGTCCTGAGTCTCTGGAAAGCAGGCTCCTCAGATCAGCCAGGACTGCATTCTTGGCAAAGTTTACCCATGATTAGCAAGGCATCCCTTAACCTCACGTTCCATAAGTGGTTTTTAAAAGAGCTTCTATTATTTTATCTTTTTCAGGCTTTGGCGCAATAGACCAGAATGGCATTTGAGTGACAAGAGGATTTATGAATTGGAGGACACCACTAGTTACTGCTTTGCAAAAAGAAAGAAAGGAAGGAAAGAAGGAGGGAGGGAGGGGCAGGGGAGAGGGAGAGAGGGAGAGAGAGAGAGAAGGAGAAAGGGAGAGAGAGAGAGAAAGGGGGAGATATGAAGAGAACCTCATTGTGGGACTGGTTTTAAGACTTAGAGGCAAC